GACTAATCGTTTATCATCTTATCTGCCTTGTCTTGAAGAAGTTGCTTCTATGGACTCAATTGCGAAAAGAGCTTCTTGATGTCCATATCTAAGGAGCTTTTCTTTGCCCAAAACATGTATAGAGCAAAAAAGAGAAATACAATAAACAATCCTCAAACCCCTTAAAAAAGCAACAACAATAAATGTACACTACAAAATCTAAAGATACTAATTCTAAGGTAACATCAACAATGACTTTCTTGCCCCTCCATAGGTAGCTAAATTCGCGGCTCAAGGATCCACCGCCATATAGACTAAGACAACTACAAAAGAAGAGAACAGTTGATGACACTGGCACAAAATATGAACATCCAAGGAATCATAGCGCACACCTTGTTGGAGCTTAGACCATCCCCAATGGTGCAAATGAGGTGAATTGCAAGCCTACGTGGCAGAGGGATGAAAATGAGAAAGTGGTTTGCATTGATGTGGCATCATTTGCAAATGGTGCAAATTTGTACACCATGCAAATTGGTATGCAATTGCAACAGGGCCCCACCAATTTGTCTTTTCTTTCTTTTCCCTTCTTTCTTGTTCATTTGTTTTTTTCTTTCTTGCTTCCACCATCAATTATATGTTGTATGTATTTTTTTTCTATCCTTCCTATCACATACACACATATGTATATGTATTTAGTTAATGGTAATGATAATCATTTTTGTATAAATAAAACAATACTACAAACAAACCTTAAAGATTCATATATACTTTAAAGTATTACATCCGCAAAGTACAAATTGAAAAGAAAACACACTAAACACGTTAAGATAACTAGTTAATACATAAAATGTTTTATATAATTAGTAACATTAAATTTATAATTATATTTATTGACTTTAATTGATATTAGTTATAGGAAGTTGCTAATTTAAGTTGAAAGGATATTATAATATTTTAGTAAAATGGTGGAGATAATATGAATATTGATTTGTATTAAAAAGTAAGTAGGGCTCACAATTGCAATTGCAATTGCAATTGCAAGTGGATGGCATTGATGTAGGTTGTATGAAAATGAAGAGTGAGATAATTGTTAAAGTTGATGATGTGGCAGTAGGGACCACACTTGAAATTGCATGTAGATGACACCATGGGAGATGCTCTTATATATTATATCTGAATCACTTACAACCATCACCCTAGATATTTGATGGTTAATTGCAACTAAGAGGCGTAGCCAGGATTCTGTTTAAGGTCCACCTCGAAAAAAACAAATATGATAAAATAGTTTTTTTAATATAATCTTACGTTGAAAACTTTTGATAAATTAAAATGCATTAGCAATCGAAAATATCAAGAATATCACTCTCCATATATACCAAACAATCATTGATTTAGTTAGTCGTAGTGTTTCAAATGGCGTTCTTTGTTAAGAAACGTTAGTGTCAATACCTCGAGTTGTTGATAGAGGTTTAATAATAAATCTTATACCAACCAATAACTCATGATTTACCTAGTCGTTCGCTTTCGAATGATGTTCTTAAAAAAATATTTAGTATCAATAAATCGAGTTGTTGGAAGATTTCAATAATATATTATACCATTTACTACCATGCTCCCTTATAAGAAAGTCAACTTATACGAAATTGATGTTTGCACAAATCTGTATACCTTATGCTTAAGAAATGAGGTCGCCAAGATTCAAACACAAAACTTTTCGACGAACTATTCTCAACTAAACGCGACCTAGTTTTTTATATCAATTAACTACTGTATCTGATTTAATCATTTTGCCCCGAACCAGGGTGGGTCCCGGGACCCACCCTGTTACCCTCTCCCTCCGCCACTAATGAGCTACAAGTAACTCCAGTAGGTACGAGTTCGGGCCAGGATGAAGAGATCCTATAACAAGTGTGTCTGAGACTCAAAGAACGAGCCTTGAGGATTAGAGAACTGTTAATTATATATTTTAACGTACCATTGTGTAAATAACCATTAGTAGAAGTCGACTGAGGTTTAGGTTTCTAAACCTATATTACTCGTGTAACCTTAGAAAAGAGTAATCAAGCAATAATAAACAAAAACCTGTGAGGGAGATCCTCACCGTGGATTAGTGCCGAATTGACGAAACCACATTAAAAAACTCGGTATTCTTTCTTTCTAGCTACGATTTTGACATGGTATCAGAGCCTACAATCCGAGACTTGACGATATTCTTGACGAAGTCGAAAGAAGAGACCTACAGAGATAATAAAAAATGCACATGTGGTTGAATAAGCTAAAAAATATTCTTTCTACTAGACTTTAGATTCTTCATAGAAGGCAAACCCACTGAAGAATCCATTTTTAGGGGAGCTCAGAAAGGGGAGCTCAGAACACAAAAGCGATGCCATGGAAGACTAAAAATGGAAGTTTAGTTTTATGGAGAATGTCTCTCGAACTCACAAGCATTCAAAGGATAACCGCTTAAGACTTCTGGCATATAGCCAAATATGTCTCATTTATATTTTTAAAGAGAAATTATGAATATAGATTGTTTAAATACTAATTATTATTAAATAACATTATATGAACAATTAAAATTTATGCACTATGGCATGATACCTGAGCTCGAGTCGATTCGCGAGCTGATTGATGAGTCGATAGAGTTAGAGCTCGAGAGCTCATTTACGAGCCAAGTTCGAGTCGAGCTCGAGTTAAACATAAGCTAAGGGTTTAGTAAATAAGTCGAACTTGAGACTCATTGATAAGCCGTTAATTGCACATGTTTTTACCCCTATTCTGGAGCCGTTTGAGGTGTTGATACTCGTGTTTTAGGCCGATTTCACGCTAGGTTGTGCTTGTTTGTGATATTTCAGGTCCTAGTAAGTGAATGAAGGCTTGGGAGCGAGTTCGGGGTCGATTGGACGAAGATCGGACGCGCGGCGAGTCGCAAAGGAAGTCACACGGGCCCACACACAACTCACACGGCCGTGCAAGTGATTAAGGAGGCCGTGTGGGATTGTGCGAGCCTTCACACGGGCACAAATAAATTCCACACGGCCGTGTGAAGTTGCAATTTGGCCGTGTGGAATTCTGCGAGGCTTCACACGGCCAGGCTGGGTGAGCTACACGGCCGTGTGCCCCTGGCCGCGTGGGAAGCCTGAAACCCAATTACTCGGAACGCGGCGTTTTGACCTCACACGGGCAACTGGGGATGCCACACGGCCGTGTGGCTTGCCCGTGTGAGTCGGGAATTTCTGGTTTTTACCCAATTTCGGGCTGCAATGGAGAGAATCGGATTTTCAGAGCAAAAACAGAGCCCTAGAGAGAGAAAGTACGAAGAACACATCCTAGAAGCCATCTTGGAGCTGGGTTTCATCAAATCGAGATTGGAGATCGTCATAGGAGTGGAAATCATCATCCCACAGCAAATTCTTCCCATTGTTATGAGTATGACTGCTTTGTATTCTGTTTTCCCCTCTCTCTCTATGGATTAAAACCCTTCTCTCACTTGGGTGTGAAGAACCCTAGTTCTATGTGTTAGGGATTTGATTGTAATGACTTGGGATGATTATACTGTTTGGTTTTAATCGAATGATGCGTGTTTATTGAGTCAATTGAAGTCTGATCAGCTTTTCCTGATTTCTGCTGCAACCTGAGATAGATAGAATCTGATTAGGTTGTTAGAGCCTCATCATTCGGTAGTAGGAGATTGGCTATACGAGAGTTAGCCAGTTTACTGCTTTGTACTGGAATCCAATTCCAGTAGTGGAGTTCTGTGCTTATTGCTTCAGCTTTCTATCCCGGTGAAGACTAGTCGTCTGCCGGGTAGTTAGACTGAGAGGGTTTGGTCAGCTTAAGAGATTCCAAGCTACTGTCGGATCTTCCGCAGTCTAATCAACAGTAAATCAACCCAGGGTAATTACAATTGAGACTTAACTAAGGAGCTAGGGGGACTCATTCCCGAGTGACTCTTCTTTGCTTGAGAAAACCGTACCAATTCCTGCTTTCTTTCTGCTTTTGCTTAAAACAACAATCACTTAACTTAGTTGGCTAGATAATAGATACTCACGGAGTAAGCAGTAGATCTAGACCCCGGGTTGATAATAGAACTTGCCACTTTACTGCATTCCCGGACTGCGATTACACTTGGTCGTAGTTTGGTGTTGTGTTCTGGCGTGTCACTCGTTCATTAACGATCTGAGCTCAAGATAGGTCAGAACTTGACTCCACTCATTTGCAATCCTAATCATGACACATGATTTGTTCTTAATTAGTTCATCTCACGGTAATTTGTTCTTAATTAGCTCGTCATCCACTCATTCGGCAATTTTAGGAAAAAATAAAGTATGTCTGAAGTAATATCATTAACATTTTTTCTATAGTTCTACCAAATTAACTAAAATCAAACTACAATCTCTCATAAATATACTCAATTCACCTATTAACTACAAATCGACAATTTAAATTGGGTTGTGGATTACTTAAAACAAGCATGCTTATTTGATTTTACTTATTATTATTAATTACTAATTATGATGAATAACTTTATAACATTAAAACTATTATCGTAAAATGAAGTTGTGTCTCTTATAATTATTAGAGCAGTGTCGGAAGTCCAAAATTTAAAAAAATTGTACCGAAAAAATGGAGGTACTTCACAAAATTTTCGGGCGGAGGGGTGTCGGACGACACCCCTCCCCTTGCCTTAGGTCCGCCCCTGACTATAGACAGCAGTGGAGCTAAATTGAACTTATGAGGAGTTATAGCCCAACTCAACGTTGAAATATAGATAAAATTACATATAAATTTTGCATGAATAAAGATTTAGCTCCCCCTCCCAATTACAACAATTCAACTTAGCCATCGTTTAGATTTCTATAGACTAATCTCAACCATAGAATACATATGGTGGAAATTAGTTGATATAATTAACAAAGTTTAATCATCCAACAGTAAATTACTTACACAGATTTATAATTTTTATTTATTTTAAGGGGTATATTTTTCAGTTTATAGAAATGATAAAACAGCACAGCAGTTGTACAAATAAACAAAATCTCCTGGAAAAAGCTGTGGGAAAAGAGCACCGGAAGAAAAGAAAAAAATTTGGAAAAAAAAAAAAAAAACGTTTCGACCGCGAGCTGTCTCTGTCTATACTACTATAGTCTGGCGAATGGCGATCATTGTCCCACAGCTCTTTTCTTCTTCCCTCTCGGCTCTTTCTCTTCTCTTCTCTTCCACTGCTTCTCTGCTCTCTGTCGCTTTGGTGGGTTTACATTATACCAAAGCTCGGGAAGCTCGTCTTCTCGTCGGCTCCCTCCCCTTCATTCCAAATTCCAAACAATTTTTTCAGCTTGACATTTCCGCAAACATTTCGTCTGCACGGGTACAAAAACTCCAGCTCTACCAAGTTCACTCTCTCAAACCACTTCCCTTACCTTTTCTTGTCATCTCTCGCTGCTGATGCCTGATTGCGGTAGAGAGACAGAGAGAGGAGTTGGCGTTTGGTCTAGAGCATTAGTTGACTTGATGGGCTGCCGCCATTAAATGCCTGCTACAAGTGAATTGAACTCGTGGCGGCCAAACGCAGCCTCGTCTACAACTACTGCTACTACAAATCCGACCACCCATTTCCTATTTATGGCGTCCACAAGTTCAACGCCCACGGACCCTTCCTCGTCGCTACCCGAGGATGCGGCGGCGAAAGCTGCCAACAGAAGGTACGAAGGCCTGGTTGGGATTCGGACCAAGGCGGTAAAGGGGAAAGGGGCGTGGTATTGGGCTCATTTGGAGCCGGTTTTGATAAGAAACCCAGACACGAATCTTCCAAGAGCAGTCAAGCTCAAGTGCTCACTCTGCGAGTCCTTCTTCTCTGCTTCAAACCCTTCCAGGACCGCCTCCGAGCATCTCAAGCGAGGCACTTGCCCGAACTTCGCCTCGTTCCTGAGACCTAACCCCGCCGCGGGTTCGGTTTCGCCTCAGCCCATTTCGTCTTTGCCTTCTCCTTCGTCAACGCATAATCATCGGAAGCGCCCCTCTCATTTGGCGACTCCGCTGAATTCCATATCTTTGGTGGACTCCAGTCGATATAGTGACGATGTTGGTGGCTATTCGAATATGGTGTTAAGCCAGCCGCAGCAGCAGCAGTTGGTTTTATCCGGCGGAAAGGATGATTTGGGTCCGCTGGCAATGTTGGAAGATAGCGTTAAGAAGCTGAAAAGTCCCAAGTCGTCGTCGTTTCCTTCATTGAGTAAAGACCAGATTGATTCCGCTCTTGAATTGCTGACCAGCTGGTTCTACGAGGTTTGCGGGTCAGTTTCGTTTTCAAGCATCGAGCATCCAAAGTTTCGGGCTTTTCTCCGTCAAGTTGGCTTGCCCCTTTTGTCAAGGAAAGACTTGTGTGGGCCCAGGCTTGACGACAAGTTTCTGCAGGCCAAGACTGAAACGGATGCTAGAATTAAAGATGCTATGTTCTTTCAGGTTGCGTGCAATGGGTGGAAGAGCAAAAGTTGCTGTAACGGGGAAGAAAACTGTGTGAAGTTTAGCATCAATCTCCCAAATGGTACGACTTTGTATCAGAAGACATTTTTAAATGGGGGATCAGTTTCACCAAAGTATGCTGAAGAGATTATGTGGGAAGCAGTGCAAGAAACGTGCGGCAGTGGGTTGCAGAGATGCATAGGAATAGTTGCAGATAGGTATAAAGCCAAGGCATTGAGGAATTTGGAGATTCAATATCCATGGATGGTGAATCTCTCTTGTCAGGTTCAGGAGTTTGCCAGTCTGATCAAGGATTTTGCCGAGGACCTCCAACTTTTCAGGTCTGTTACTGAAAACTGCTTGAAGGTTGCCATTTTTGTAAACAATCAAACTCAAGTTAGGAGTAGGTTTCAAAAGTACAGGATGCAGGAACTTGATTATTCCGGGTTGCTTCGAGTTCCTTCAAGCAAGTGTGATTGTCAGAAGGACTCCGTGGCTGTTTCTGTGATGCTAGAGGACATTCTAACCTGTGCCCGTGTTCTCCAGATGGTTTTCTTAGATGAATCGTACAAGACAATGTTTGTACAGGATGCTGTTGCTAGGGAAATTGCTGGGATGATTCAAAGTGAACGGTTTTGGAATGAATTAGAGGCGGTTTATTCACTGGTGAAGCTTGTCAGAGGGATGGCTCAAGAGATCGAGGCTGAAAGACCACTCGTGGGGCAATGCCTCCCACTTTGGGAGGAAGTGAAAGTGAAACTGAAGGATTGGTGTGCTAGATTTGATGTAACTTATGGTCAAGTTGAAATAATAGTTGAAAAGAGGTTCATGAAGAGCTACCACCCGGCATGGTCTGCAGCATTTATACTTGATCCAGTTTATCTGATGAAGGATGCAAGTGGAAAGTACCTCCCTCCATTCAAGTGCTTGACTCATGAGCAGGAGAAGGATGTTGATAGGGTCATTACCCGTCTGGTTTCCAGGGAAGAAGCTCATGTTGCTTTAATGGAGCTTATGAAATGGCGCTCAGAAGGGTTAGACCCACTTTATGCCCAGGCTGTTCAGGTTAAGCAGCGAGACCCATTGACAGGGAAGATGAGACTTGCAAATCCTCAGAGCAGCAGATTAGTGTGGGAGACTTGCTTGAGCGAGTACAAGACATTAGGCAAAGTTGCTGTCAGGCTAATTTTCCTCCACGCTACATCCTGTGGGTTAAATTTGTCCTGCATGAAATGGTTCTCTGTCCTTGGAAACTCAAAGGTCTGCATTGAAAAGGCTCAGAAGATGATGTTCATTGCAGCTCATGCGAAGCTTGAAAAATGGGATTTACAAGATGAGGAAGAAAAGGACAGGGAGCTCTTCTGCTGTGAGGATGCTATGCTGAATGAAGTCTTTGACGATGCACCATCAGTGTAATGTTTTTGTTTTCTTTGCAATAACTTGTAGAGATATTGAACTTTAGAATTAATTGAATCTTTCACTATTTAGTTATCTTTCCATCGTTAATCCTAGATGAAGTGGGTGGTATTGTTGAGGAAACATGATAGCTACATGATTTCACCGAATCATTAGTCACTTCCCGTTCGTGTGATTGATCTGTTGAGTTTGTAAAAAGTGGATAAACCTGATTCTCTCTTGGTCTATTCATATTTTCTTCCCCCCGACGTTTTCATTTGCCACTTATTGATTGCTATTTTGGTGTAGTAGTAGTTTTAGCTGGAGCCTGAACTTATTTGGAGATAGTCTGGAGTTGGCTTTTAGATAAGGCTTTGCTTTAGGTCTGCCGTAGAAATCTGAAGAATTGATAGCAAAGAAGCTAGCGAGTAGTGACTGAGTTATTTTGGTCTGACATCAATCTTTTGTTTAGTTAGTAAGTGCTGCATGCATGTAGTATCTGCTTTGATCTGTAAGTGTCCATGTAGTCGTTGCATGTTTATTCAGCTGTTGGGTGTAGGGGTAAAGTTGTACAGGCACTACTGAATGTCCATACAGCAAATGTTCCTTTTCTGTCTATGGGCTTGGCTTAGTGGTTTTCTGATTTCTCTGAAACTATCGTGTAGTTATTGTCAAGATTTGAAGTCATTAGCTCTCCTTTTACACTTTGTGTACAATCATCAAAAGATATACAAAGATTTGTTCTCTTAAAGCAAATGAATTCTTGTCAAAAGTGTGAATAGTGCAACCTCTTTTAGTGGGAGCACTTCGTATAATAGTTGTCAAGCCCCACTGGCATTGTTATACTCTTGTTCTCCACTGACATTAATGTTTTTACAACATTTAGGTCCCTAAACTGAAGGCTTCCAAGAGTAATCAGTTTTGATGGACGGAACAGCATCTATGGAGCGGAGAAATTGACCGTTTAGTCTTGATACAAGTTGACCGCAATTGCTAAACCTTTGTATGTAAAATGCCTTCTTGAGTCTTCCTCCAGAAAGAGAACAAGTCTACAGTTTTGATGGATGCCTACTTAACAAGACTACTATCTAAAGCTGTGGAAGCCCTTTGGAAGGTTTTGCCTAACATATGAATTGTTAGCTACTAGCAACAATCACTGTCACACCATTAAATCCTGAAATCCAAACATACTAGTGTCTAGTATCCATACTGCTGGTTAGTATATTACGAGATCAGTAGATTCTTGTGCAGTTGTGCTACCTGAGCATTGATAGAGCTGAGCTATTTTTGCTATGTCATAATCGATTAGGGTTTTCTTTTGGCCTTTTAGTTCAGTTTTACTGTCTCCCCTCAACTTCATGTGTTCTATATGAGATGTTCATGTTAGTTTGATCTGATTCCTTTGTATTTCAGACCTTACGTTGAAAATTGACAAACAATTCTAGGAATCAACTGATGAAAACTTACATGGATTCATGTTGCATAAAATGCACTTGTGGGCTTGAAAATATTGTTTTGATGCATCTTTTGTTTTGATGTTCTTTCTCTTGTTGTGTTGTGGTAGGGGACCTAGTTTATAAGCCATGGGTGAAGGACATCTTCAGTGAAAATTTTTTTTTTTTTTGGGGGGGGGGGGGGGGGGGGGGGGGGGGGGTGGTCATAGAACTGCACTTTTACTAAACATATTAAGTTGCATTGTTGCCTTCGAATATGAAAACATTTTCAGTGAAATTGATGAACCTTGAATTCGCCGGAGAGGAAATTGAAAATGCATTTGCAATCATGCAGTATATAAATTTGTGGACATATTTGTTGAAAGAATTTGCTGCTAACTGAAAAAGCAATAATGTGCCTTAAGATCTGAAGGTTTCTAACTTTCTATCCGCTGCAGGTTAATGGCGGCTTGGAATGGGTGGATGATGAATCAGCCTTGAGTGACCTGAACAACTGGGTCAACCTTGGAGGCACTCAGGAGTGAATATTTGTTTCTGAAGGAGCACACACCTCATTGATGTAAGTCTTGCTGAATCACTTTGGTTGTCTGCTTCTGACCACAGTAGAGCCCCACGATGGAGAGTGGATGTCAATCTCAGTGCTTTTGTTGTGCAGGTCAAAGAAAAGTCAGGGATAAGGGTCCTCCTTCTTTCCAATCACCTCCCTCCCTTTTCTCTTCCTCTCTCTAACATCCCTATTCTTTATCTATTTGGTTACTATAATTATTCCCAAAGTCATGTCCTACCATCTTCGATAACTTGTTTTCTAAACATTACAATTTGTGTGACGTGCTTATTCTCAAGAGATTCTTTTCCCATAACATTTAGTCAAGCTTGATAGTTGAAGTTCTGTAGATTATCAGTTAGGCTGTCATGGTGTGGCCTAAAGTTAGTCTTGAGCCAAGCAGAAGCAAGATGGCTCTGTTTGATAGAGGGGGGGGGGGGGGGGGGGGGGGGGGGGGGGGGCATGCCAGAATAGATTGGTGAAAGCGATGTATCAACTTACATGAACTGATTTTTTAGGATATGCATTTTAACCTGATTTAATTGAATATTACTCACAGGTAGGTGACACCATTAGCATCAATGTTCCTTTCCTCCTGTAGAAAGATGGTTTCTTTATGCTTCAGCTTAATCTACTTTATCCCATCATTATGTAGCATGTTAAGTGTGTTTATTATTTTCACCAATCTACCCTTTTCACCATGACGTTCTTTAAATTTTGGGTCTCTATGAAACAAATAGGTTCCCATTGTATTAATGAGCAAAAGTCCATCAGCTTCACATCTGTGAAAGAGATGCCTACCCAAGAGGTCGTGTGTTATGTGCATGTGTATGTGTGTGCATGTTGGAATATATTCTCTCTCTCTCTCTCTCTCTCTCTCTCTCTCTCTCTCTCACACACACACACACACAGACACATTTGTAATGGGAAAGAAAGTCTTGATCGATTAACCTTACCCCAGCTTCTGTTTGTATTTGATAGTCAATTTGGTGGAGGCACGTTATCTGTCGGCAAGGCCGACTGCTCACCAACTAGAAAGGAAAGCTATTCACTCATATGGTATGGTATCATTGTTTACTCCATTCATATTCTTGTTAAAGAGAGTAAAGTATAATCATTGGTATAGGACATAACTTTTTTTTTCTTTCCTTCTCTATGAGAATCTTCACACTTTCAATCCCTACTCCATGATTAAACTTCCTTTTATCATATCATACACTTTTTTTTTTTGGTTTCCACTTTGTACAGGTCTTGATGGTTTTTTGGATCCATAGACCGTCCATGTTAGATACGTGAAACATGATGATATTGAAATTGGAATTGGAATTATTCGTTCCTCATGGCCCTTCTATCGAATTGTTTCAGCCCTTTTTTGCTGTAGCTGGCTTGCTATTATGAGGTAACAAGAAAATTTGTGTTATTGCTTTATGATATGTCTATCCATCAGGTACCTACAGATTACAGTATCGAAATTCAATAATGACAGATAGATAAAGCAGAAATAGGAAAAGTAAGGAAGTGATTAGAACCATATATGAGATGCAAGATTATTTCCCCCCTCTTCCTCTTTTAAAGTTAGTTTACTCTTTTTACAGTGATGCTTGATTAGGTTCAAATAGTGCCTCATCTGCTGCACCGGCCATGACTGGAAAAATCTTCTGGTTGGTAGTTGATGAATAGTTAGTTGGTTCCAGGTTCTATATATGGCCTGCTTTTTATTGCTAGTATAGATTAGGGCTGTTCTAGTATAAACAGAAGAAACCTTTACAGAGGTTAATGTGATTCTTGTTAGGTTAAAACATAGCTCTCAGTTGGTAGGTCCATAAGATAGTAATTATCTCCAGTAAGAATGATGATTTTATTGAACCTCTCCTCTAATTATAATTTGTTCTTCTTTTTTGTTGTGGCATTTTTCAACTTCCATCATATTCCCCTTCCTTCATCATTGCCCTTTGCCTACGGCTCCAAAGAGGGACATACATCTTTATATCAATTCAAAAGGACACCTTTTCTGGTGTATTTGAATTATTTGGCTGGCCAGTACTCCACAATTTGGTTCAGCATTTTGACTTGAAGGGTTTAGAGGGTTAAACAAAAGCAATTATCAGGGTTGGTTGCTGCCATAATGGAGGTAATTTTCTTGGCTAAGAAGTGTGATGATTACTTCTCTGTTTTCCCCCTCTGTAATATTTTCCCCAGGTCTAAGTATGAAAATTGCACCAATTTAGCATTGATGCTGTATGATTTCTGGATTTGCGGTTTAAGATGCTAGGGAGAAAAGAACAATTGTTACCAAGCAATTAAGGGTTAGGTGTGGACAGGACCCATTTTACTGTTAACATTTTGCTTTAATTATTGCCTTCTCTGCAGACAGTTGGAATTGGGTAAAATTTTGTATCCAGGGAGGGCACTTTTTGTCAATCATAGATTAGGGTTCTTATCTTGAAGTGTAATAATTCAGCTGAGTTCCTCCCTTTTTTCTCTCACATGTATCTACAGCCTACAACCAGAGTTGTGATGAGACCCTGGAACGGATCGACGGGCTTCTACTCTAGCAGTATCTATCACAGTAGTGCTATCATCTCAAGGTGTTCGGTTCGAGTCTCGTGAAGTCATAAACTCCCTTCCGACGAAAAGAATGAACTCATATGTTCGTATTGACTGATGCAGGGGCCACAGCTACAGATTTGGTTCACTGGAGAAGGTAGAGCCTGGAAAGTGAGGTAAAAAAAGATTCAAATTAAATGATGATCATGTTCTGTCAATATCAGGAATTTCACGTAGCAGTGCTACCTAGATGTACAAAACCAGACAGTAAATTGCAGAAAGGTAGTTGATTCATGAGGAAAAGCTTTCGTCCAGCCTTACAGAATGATGATGTTGATGATACGGCGGGGCAGAAACTCTGTAGCCAAACCATCATTGCTTTTGTTTTCTGCAGTGTCTATTTTGAAGTCGATGTTATTTACTGTTTACTGCCTAAGCTGGTGTTAAATCATCGGCTGGATATACAAACAGATCACAAAGTGCTTGTATGTTTATCGCACCAGTTGAGTTTGATTTTGCTGTTGTGGCTGGTTGCAAGGAGCGGTACACAACCTGGTCGCGGATTGTGTTTCGTTTTCGTAAAAATTGATAAGGATATGACCACATATTTGAGGGATAAGATGACTAAAAATCAGTAAATCACACCACCCTATGGTGTAAATAAGTCTGTGAAGTTTGAGTATGTGGTATTTTTTATCCAAGATATGTCAATAGAAAAAAGTTACTACTTAACTACAGAGAAACAATTAGTCTGTCTCAATGTTAAGAGGTGGTTCGACTTGGTTTGATGCAGATCGTCTGTAATAAAATTCGAGTTGGAATGGATAACCTCTGAATTAATTTGAGACAGTTTTCATATTCAAAATGTGAACCTCCCTGTTGAACTTATTTGAGAAAGATTTTATATTCGAATTTATCACATCCCACCACTAAGCTCCATCGAAAGCCGCCTCGAAATATCAGCAAATTGGTGAGCAGTATAGAGTACAAATAATGCAAACGCTTAGTAGAGTTTCTGTTCCCATGATTTGTAATTTTATGGTGGACAATGATTTACTATTGTCATTATTATTATTGTGATCACATCAAAATGGGACAAAAAAGCAAGATAACGACTATCAAGTCTCAACAAAAACCAAAGTAGCTGAGATCGTAGAATGGTTGTAGTGCTGACGTATCTTATCTGCAGATCACTGTTAGTTCATACTAAGATTCCATTGGATGCGGCTAAACAACAAATAATAAGGTACAGATCTTTGTAACTATAATAATGATACCGTACCGGAAATTATAACGATAACGAATTTCATCAAAACATCTATTCAAGTTCCAATATCCGATATTTATATTCCGACCGATCAGCACGATACGATTTCTAAAACATTGCTTTGGATATCGTCAGGTATAGCAAACAACTAAACTCTGTTGAAAAATCAAACAAATTGTCGACGTTGTCAGGACGTCAGGCCCAAGCTTACAATAGATCCGTATAGCACGTCGCAATGGATATTACCACACTATTCACATACCCAGAGTTCTTAGTTGGACTGAAAAAACCGTGTGAGGAAAGACTTCTCAGTCGGAATCGTTCCCCTGCGAACCGGCAGCTGCCTCCATCATGCCATTGCGAATTTGGTCGCCGATGTCCCGAACGTGACCAGGGCCATGGGGGATGAACACGGTGGTGTTCTTCGACGAGTTGCCGAGGTCCTTGATCGTGTCAAAGTACTGGGTCACCATGATCAGGTCCATGACTTCCTTGGCGCTAGTGCCGGTCACCTTGTGCGAGAAGTTCAGTATGTTCTCCCTCAGTCCGTCTGTGATCGCCTGCCTCTGCTTCGCCACACCTACTCCTCCGAGGTATTTCGCCTCGGCTTCAGCTTCTGCCTTCTTGACCATAAGGATCTTTTCGGCTTCCCCTTTGTAAACGCTTGCAAGTTGAAGCCTTTGAGCTGGAAACAGAAAACATGACCAAGTCTCATCAATTTACACTGAATTTTCCCCCCAGGTAAAAGCTTTAATGAGATAGGTGATTGCAGTCTTGTAAGCATCCAGTTCTACTGTGTGCTTAGAAGTAGTTTATAGACATGAACACATGCTGAGCAACTTGTTCTAATACTACATAATCTACATGTACTCGTTCTAAGCATCATCCTCCGTTTTAAGAACCATGAGACCCGAAGCACAAAACATTGCCAGCACGACAGTAGGGTGAATGCGTAACAAAAATGATAATTACCTGCGTTGATCTCATTCATTCTGAGCTGATAATAGAACCAAGACCGATTGTGCTCATTTTATATGATACTTTTTTGGGGGATAGAAAAAACCTTAAAGAGCTAGATGATCGCACTCTTGTGGACATGAAACAGATACCGAGATACTTTTTTTCTAATAATCCATGATCTATATGGTACTCATTCTAATAATTTTTCTCCATTTTCAGAACCATGCGGCCAGAAACACAAAACATTGCAGGCATGACAGTAGGGAGGGTGGGTGGGAGTAACAAAAATGATGATTACCTGCGTTGATCTCATTCATGGCTTTTCGCACAGAGGGATCGGGTATAATGTCTACCATCAGCATATGCTCAATGTTATACCCATAAGCACTCATCACCTGATTAATCATTGCAACAAACGGGTCACAAGGTGTACTACACGCAACATAAACATGAATGTAGTGAATCCACCAATAGAATTTCAAAACTCGGGCCATCAGAACCGGATCTCTTCAAGTTCAATCCATAATGGGTATGGATGCATTCACAATAAGCCAAACCAGAACTAATTAGTTAGTACTCAGCAAGTTCATGCAATTTAAACGAGGACAACATCCCAAAGAAGGCTGAGTTGCCATGCCAATTGGCAAACCATTCATTACCTTCTCTAGTTCCTCCAGTACTGATCTAGCAACCTCTCCCTTCTGCTCAAAGAGTTCATCCAATGCCATTCTCGGAACAAGAGCTCGAACCACTGAAATTACAGAACAAGCAATCAATCAAAATCACAGAGTTCACCCATGAAAGTTTCTGCTGGAAAAAGATATCGAAAACAAAGTAACTAATACCATCAAACACATAAGCCTGAATCTGCTCTTGAGGATTCGCGAGCTCATAGAACGCATCATCAGCGTTTTCCTTGACGATCCGGTATTGAATTGAGCAAACCAATTGCACAAACACGTTATCCTGCCATCACCAAAATTTCATACATCAATATGAAAACCCTAGAACACGCTGATCGTCGTTCAAATCCTAACACCCAAGAACTCTCCATAATTGAAGTTTCAGCTCAATTCCTACTCCATCCAAACACAAAGAATCACTCAGCCGATACTAGTCTCTCACCGATCGGCACAAAAGCACGCAAGACCAGAGTTATATGATGAACGAACCTTGGTTTTGGTTTCGATGCGAACGTCGAGCGACTTGATCCTGGTGGAGAGAATTCCGGCGAGGCACTGGCCGGCGAAGGGGTTGAAGAAGTGAAGCCCTGGCTCAGCCAATCGCTCGAAGCGGCCCCATCGCTCCACCACGCCGATGCTAGCTTGGTCCACGCAACCGCAGAGGAGACAGTACGCGTTCCCCATTACTGAATCGAAGAAAATCCGAGTCGAGAAAACTTGATCGCCTTGCCCTTTCGTTCGTGGTTTCGCCGCTTCTGGTTAAGAAAGATACGCGGTTTCGTGAATTTGGGAAGGCCACGACTATGAGTATATGACCACACCACAGTATGCTAATTGTAATTAAACTCTAATTTCGATATAAAATTATTTATTGATAGTGACCACCGCCTTGAAATAAACGAGAGGAAAATGAGCCGGCCCATATTCAATTAGCCCGTAAACTATAAGGTGATTGTGCCCGCGGTTATTTGAAGGATAGGCCTGATGTAGTCTTAAAGATGAGCCCATTTCATAATGAGACAACATAATGAGCCTGTTTTAGCCCAATGCAGAATAGGCCTGGGCCCTGGAGGCTCAATATTTTTCCTCAAAACATCTTTCATTTGATGAGGTTAGATGGGCTAGTTTGGGCCCGCTATGATTTTTGCAGTTTATGGTTTGAGTTTTAATAGACATACTTTTAAAAAAAGCAATTGAGTTTTTTTCTGAAAAACAATTAGAATTGATTTTTAATATAAGAAGTCATATGAAATTACTAAAAAGGATTTTCAATATAAAATATGAATAAAAATTCTAAAAAATAAAAAAGTAGTCAAAATGGATGTTCTTAGATTTCTTTTATATTAAATAATTTTGTTTACTTTATTTTTAAATTGATAGAAATGAAAGAGAAATTATATTTTCTGAAATAAAATTAAATATGATACGGATAATATTGTATTTTCAAAACAGTTGTTCGGAGAAGCTGCAAATCGGAGCTTATGCGTGTTTGGCCCTGCTTCACTTTTTGAAACCGAAAAGCACTTCTAAAAGTCCGACCAAAGATAGGCTATGTAAAAAAAAACAACGAATTGGATATATGGGTTCAAGAATGGTGATATCGGGTTGATTTTTTTTATTGTTTTATATAATTTTAAAATATTCAAATATGGAACTTCCAGATTGAAAACCAACAATAAAACTCATAAACCGAGCTCTTGTTCGCAAAATAAGTGAATGGATTTTTTTTTATCTATGGATTGGATTCGCAAATTCTCAAGTGTCATCTTATGTTCACATGACAATCCCATTGCAATGCTCGACGGTCGACAAGAAGCTAGACAATAGAGATGGTGACAACGCTCAGACAAAAAAGGAAGTTAGTTACATCATCCTCTCAAAACTGAAAGAATTTATCTAACATTATTTGAGAAATATCGATATCCTCTCGTCCAAGTCAATCAAATCTTACCTACTAAAACATACATCGTTATATAAAGCTCAAACTATAACCCGATTAAAACTTTGCACAAGCTGATAAAAAGAAAACTTGCAATATTGTTATCAAGGAGGGTTGGTTGGTCCATACAGAATTGTCCCCTTCAATGGAAACAATTGCCAGTGAAGCAGAATCTTCCCCACGCCCACAACTTGTTTCTATATGCAACTCTGATCCCGCCCCCACGTTCCTTCCATAAAAACACCACCGCCCCCCGCCTTCTTGGTAATATCCCCACTTGCATTCAATCCCGAATACAGTCCTGGAGCAAATAGGATAACAACATCCTACCATGATTAACCGTTGATCGAACCGTTATCGCGTAGAGAATGCACGATCCGAAACCGTCATGGATCACGAAATTCGCGCGACCCAGCAACCCTTAACACGTCAAGATTGCAAGTTGGGTTCACTCGCATCAGCTCGAGGAATCAATGGCATAATAATGTTTGAATGCATGGAGCTTTAGAGTAGACAGACGAGACATTTGAGTGAACAGCATGTTGGCGAGGCCAGGCCATACCTGCTGCAAGGCTCTGCCAAAACGGTGGAGTTTATAACCTGTTTTTCGGCCAGATTGAGGGGACCCTCTGGCTCTCTGCTAGCAGAAACAGAGCATAGACAACAGGACACAACAATTTAAAAGAAAAAAAGAAAAAAAACGTAACACCAATAGGAGGTTTTTTAGGGTTTTAATTGGCCGTGTTTTTGGGAAGGGAGCAGCTTGATTTGGATCTAGATCTCTTTGGTCACTGGGTTCCCCAAGGGGACAAAAGGCCTTGACTTCTCGTTATGTGTAGCCATCCCAACTTGCTTCCTCTAAAATTGTTGTTTAAGTGTTATATAGTACAGTTACCTAATCGTCAATTTCCATGCTGCAAGATTATTAGTTTGGGGGATGTCGAAATATGAATCTTATTACTTCATTTTCTTAGATGCTTGTCTTCTTCAACGAGAATCATTTGTTGAAACTTTGCGTTGGCCTGATCGTCGTTCCGTTCTTAAATCATCATCTAGTAACAACCAACGATTTGTCCGTTGTATATCATGTCTCGCGCGTGTCATGGTAGTCTGCAAGGAAACGGTAAAAAAAGATTCATTCTTCGACTGTAGCCGTGCCTCAGTCCTCGTGATAATTTAACAATAGATTTATGTATGAATAATGACGGATTAATGAATGGAAAACATCTCTTGTCATGTTAGGTGACAAAACACCTAATGCCAATTTATTCACGTATTTTTGTACTCATTCACGCCATTTTGTGTGTATTCACGTAATACTATATTTATTCACGTAAGAGTGTAAGTTATTCGCGTAAATGAAAATTCAGACTTTTTCCCCTTTAATAATTTGTTAATTGGCTATATATTATGGAATTAAATCTGGATTCTCAATTAGTCTGTAAAAATATGTTGCATTGATCATAATCTACACAATGACATCCATTTTGATATATTTTAACGTCTAAAATTTAATTTTACAATGGCGTGAATAAATAACAATATGCGTGAATCGACACCAGGTTGCGTGACTAAACAATATTGGTTGCGTGAATAAGCAACACTCTTACGTGAATAATGTCAATATGGCGTGAATAACGAAAATATGGCGTGAATAAATGAAAAAAATGCGTGAATTAGGTGTTCTTGTCACCTAACGTGACAAGAAACTTGATTATTAATGAATACTTCAAACACATTACTTGTCCGGTGTTTAAAAGTGGCGTGTAAATGAATAGTAAAAACACACTATATATTTTTTTGTAATGAAGAAAAAAAATACTATATATTGAATTTTCCTTTCAACTAGTCAAATTATTACGACCAACTCGTTCATGATAATAACCAGAATCATGGCCAACTGTGAAACAGCCATCAGATTCAGTTTGTACTGCAGTACATGGCCAACTGCAAATTGCTAGCACTGAATATAGAGATGAGTACTATCTGCACTAATGGACAGACAAAAGTTGTCCATACACATTACTAGATATGCATAGCATTATCTAGTTCAGATCGATCGATGTACAAGTGAGATAAAAACGAAAATTGCTATCAGTTCTTTTAATGTTCTTTGCCCCCTTTTATTTAGTGAGCATGGCTCTACTGATGGCTTTTGTACTCCTTGTCCCTTCTCTGTTTTTGATACATGTGCAATGGACCATTTCTTTTCTCTTTCACTTTTACTGTGACAATGGTAAAGCTCTCTAAGTTATTCGTTTGTTGACATGGTATCGAATTCCTTAACTCATAAATTTCGTGTCTGAAACCTCATATGATCGTTTATGATAGTTTATTTAAGCACGAGTTATGAAGTATGGGTATGTGCTCTAACTACCACATCGATTGTTTGGTCTTCATCTGAGAAAGCATATCAACGAATGATATAAGATACATATATAACAGATTCCCCTCGCTCACTCGCTCGAATTATTACCCTAAACTGGGTTATGGACAGTAGCAAGAATCATGGCCAACTACTGCAAATATAGCCACCAGATTCAGTCAGTTTGTACTGCAGTGCATGGCCAACTACAATAGTCCAATGCACCTTTTTCTTTTTCTTCTGAATGTGACAACGGTGAAACATTCCAATTTGTTCTTGTCCCAGTGGACAATTAAAAGTCTCGTGTTCAAAACCTCGCGCAATCGTTTAACAGCTGATTTTCAGCAATGAGTTATGATGAACGGGTGTGTGCGCTCTAACTACCACATCCATTGCTTGGCCTTCATCTGAAAGAGCACATCAACGAAACCATACAAAAATCGATATATAACAGATTCGCCCTCGACCACTCGAATTATTACCCTGAACTGGGTTCATGGACAGGAACAAGAATCATGGCCCAACTGCTGAAACAACCACCAGATTTCAGTCAGATTTGAACTGCACTGCATGGCCAACTGCAGAAATTACTCTGGATGTATGTATGCACATATCAGTACAATCTGCAGACAAAACTTGTCGATACACATTATCTAGTAAGATCGATCGATGGATCGATGTACAAGTGAGATAAAACCGAAAATTGCTTTCAGTTCTTTAACGTTTGCTGCCCCTCTTTCCCTTTTATCAGCAAAGCATGGCTCTACTGATGGCTTTGTACTCCTTGTCCCTTTTCCTCTGCTTTTGCTGTATGTGCAATGGACCATATTCATGTTTTCCTCCCCACACTTTCACTTGAATGTGACAGTGAAGGGTTTCTTTGTCTTCCCTGTCCAAATCCATTCCCCCCATCCACCCTCTGACGCTACGGTTCCATGTGATTGGGATCCATGCCATAATATATTTGTCTTGTGGGCAGATCTTTGGTTTAGATTACATTCCACGGCGTGTACTTTAGGTAAGTAAATTGGGAAGGTATGGAGATTATGGTTTATTTAGTTGCTAAGAGCAGATTCATGGGTTTGTAATCATTAGATAGAGATACATACCATGAAAGTACATGGAAGGAGTGTTAAAGTATGTACAATATTTGCAGAGTAATGTTGGGGTTTGACAATGATATTAGCGATTTGATAAGGGAATTAGGGAAACATTGATAGAAAATCGGAGGAAGATTGGAGCAGAATCCAGGTTTAGGGAGAGTAGAACTGAGAGGATTAGCGTATGTGATTTAACTTGAATTTCTTTTTTGTTCTTAAGAGAATCATAATAATACAGTACATATAGAGTGTTTTGGCAACCATATGAAAGTTGAAGGTTAATGGCTATTTTTTTATCCAAAACTTTTTCCAGATTTTTTTATATTATTCAAACCTATTAAAGTTTTATTAATTAGCTAAATCTTTCATAGTGCATCAAACTATTAGCCATTTTTACGTTATCGTTAATAATTTTATAATTCTTTTCTTAGTTAAAATACTAAAATTTTGGAATGTTTACCTTCATGTGTCTCTTCCAAGTCAGTGTTATGTTGCCAAGTCAATATTACTAACAAAATTGCTAACTGGAAGTTAACATTTGGTTAAGTCTTAGTATTTCGATAGGTTTGGATAATATAAAAGAATCTGAAAAAATGTTTGGATAAAAAATAAACATTACCCAAAGTTTAATATCAAAGACATGTATGGAACATGAAGAGAAAACGAGCAATCATATCAGATATAATCATATTTAAGGTGTCCACTAAATGTGATTATAATTTTCCTTCTTAATTATAATTACCCATAAGGATTTTAACTCGAGTTAATAATACAAAAATAAAATGAGACGATAACGTATACCTTCATTTTCACTTCTGAGCATATATAGTTGTACTACTACCGATCGATCTTTTTCGCCAAAACTTGTAACCGTTGATTATCTCATTTCCTTAATCTGCATAACAAATGACCTACATAAATATGACAATGGAACCGATTACCCATTAAAAAAAATTCACAATGTCACCATCAAACAACAAAGCAAAACTACAACAAGCTTGCTAGCTCAAATCCTAATCAAGTTGACAGAAACTTCAGCACTTTTGTAGATTAAAATGTGGACACCAATGAATGCGGTGTACGTAATTAAGCATATCTCCCCTTCCTAAAACTAAAACTAGAACTAGTTTCCAGCATTAATGCTCTCAACTCTCAAGACACAACTCTGATCAATATAATTAAGGCACACATTACTGATTAATCTTCAATTCCAACCCACGTTAAGTGCAACTAGGCTATAAACCCATTTTTGTTCTTTCAATTAACTATTCTCCAATTGGCCATTAGCCAGCAGCCCCAATTACCACCCCGTACAGTACCGCGCGCGCACACTGTTTTATTCCCATCCAAAAGTATTTGACCACATGCAAGATTTTAGAATTAGAGAAACAGAGCCTTTGTTGATTGGCTTACTGTCAGCACCAACGTGGGAGCTTGTCGTCGATTTGTCTCCTCCATGTAAAAATACTGCCTGCAGACTGCAGAGCTTCTAAGCCCCGAACGGCCGAACCCATTGCCGCGCATCTCTCTCTGTTGTTGTTGTTGCGCATCTAACAACATTACAGCCTAGCTAATCCACCTTCCCCTAAACGTAAACACCACCCTGTAATCTGTAACCCACAACGTGCCACTCTTAAACTAAACTAATTAATCCCCACTAAATCAAATATCTATCATCAATGAGATGCTCTCTGATATCATTGTAGCACAACGGCATCGCCAGAAGCTTACCTCAAGTCATGTGTACTTCCTTACTTTTAACAATTTTTGGAAGGTTGGATCTTTTAGATTATTACCGCGAGACAGGTCGACTATTTTTACGGTACAAACTCGGTATTGTATCGGACAAACATAGTGTGTGTGTGAGACTATACTTCATGTCAAACTGGTCCATCGGTACCTTATTCGTTTAACATAGAGTTAACGTTAATCCACCAAAAAGGGCTTAACGAGGTGTCTGCCTAAGCATTTAGCGATAAACTGGGTGGACAGGCCAATGAAGTGGGGCAGTATTTTAAGGCTGGAGAAATGATTATCTTTCCGTTTTGTCTCTTCATTCCTTCCTCTAAAGTCGAGAGCCCACTGGTCACCATCACTCACTTTCGCACTCCTTTGCTTCTGCTACATCGTGCTTCATTCACAACGAGATCCAATTACCCATTATCTCTGCAAATCACCATTGACCGCGACGTCTGTGGTGAAACTCATATTACCCCCACTGACTTCAGCTCTGCAAATCTCATCTACCTTCCGTCTACACTCTACACCTTAGTGTTGTCACAACTTTAAATTTTCTCGTGTTGCTCTCGCCTTTACGTCGAACGTTTTTTTTCAACCCAACTTGAAATCGATCTGAAAATTATTGTACCTCGTGCCTACCTATACATTTCGTCATATCGACGTCAACTGGATATTGTACTAATCTTGTAAATTGGTGTGAACAAAATCTACTCAAAACTCAATAATTTGCCACAAATAATAGACCTCAAGCAATTAACTTAACAGTCAAAATCTGATCCACAATTTTATGTGTTTATTCACCTAGTGTGTTGTGTTGTGACACAAATGATCAATTGTTTTTTCAATTTGTTGAACCCAATCCTAGTTGGTATTATTCACTCAATTATTTAAACTTCACCCACTTGGACCTTCCTTGTCACCTCTTGTCTTCCCCCCTATATATCATCACACCAGAAAACCCACAAAGTCAATCCATTCACCATCTCAAATCTCAACCATCACCACACTCTCTCCAACAGCTAAAAAAAAAGAGCTCTCATCTCCAAAACAAAACAAAAAAAACCATGGCTTGTAACTGGTCTGCGGAGAACGCCACCAACGCCTTCCTGAAAACCCTGAAAATGGTCAAAGAGCAGGGTCAACGATCCAGCAAGGAGCCCGAATCGGCCGAGTTCATCTCGGCGCTCGCCGCCGGGAACAACTCCCAGCTCATCGTCGTCGCCTCCGCCACACCCACCGCCACGACGTCGTTCATGCTCTCCGCCCTGGTGACGGCGGCCCACCAGACCGGCGGCCGGGTGGTCTGCATCCACCGGACCCAACACGAGACCGAGCTGTCGAGGCGGGCCCTGGGTTCACGGTCACGGAAAGTGGGCTTCGTGACGGGGGAGGCCCATGAGCTGCTGTCGACGTCGGCCCAGTACAGCGGCGCGGACTTTGTCCTCATCGACTGCCACCTGGACAATCACGAGGAGATCCTTGGAGCGGTCCAGCAGCAGGCCGGGAGTAATCAGAACGGCGCCGTTGTGGTCGGGTACAACGCGTTTGGGAGCGGGTCGTGGGGCTCCGACGGGCGGTGGAGGACCCAGTTGCTGCCGATCGGGGAAGGGCTGCTGGTGACCCGGATGGCGCCACCGGCGAGGAATAAGAGCCGGTGGGTGGTGAAGGTGGATAAATGTACCGGGGAAGAGCACGTGTTTAGGATCCGATCCCCACAGGGGAAGATTGAAGCGTAATCTGGTGGTATTAATAATTAGCCAGCCAGTTAATTGCTCGACTAAGTTTTGTTTTGGTTTGTCAATGTAAGATGTAAATACTAAATTATTATTAAGTATTATTCGTTAGTCCATGTGGAAAATGGAATCTTGGAGAGAAAATGTTTGCAAGATTTAAATCATTTTCCCGTCCATGTACAAACTACAAAGCACTAGCTACTAGGGGAATCATTATTATTGATGGGCGGTTTTTGTCACCTAAATCGATTCGATCGTACAAAATTAAATATGTATCTGTCACTCACCATATGAAGTGAACGGGTTGGATGAATCTGGAAAATAATTATATGGGTTTTGAACGGGTTGATTTTATACATACAACTATAATTTTTATAATTTAACATCAACCACAAGAAATGAACAGGTTGGATGAGTTTGGGAAAATAATTAGATGGGTTTTGAACGGGTTGATTTTATACACACAACTATATTTTTTTATATTTTAACATCAATTAGGACATCAAAGAATTCCATGATTATGAACTATGGATACATGTGATTATTTTTATAGTGAATTAATCAAGGATACAAGACAAAAATGTGATTGTAGTCGCATAACTTCATAATTATAACATTAAAACCACACTTCAGATTATGAAAATTCTCACAAATGACTCTTGGTATATTTGTAATACATGTTATATAATTTTTGCGTTTCCCTTCAAAATTTGATGGTTAATGGTGTGTGGTTAGAGGATACAATACTGGTCGGTGAAAGGAAAAATAAATTGCTATTTGTCATAATATTATTTATGATGAAAATAGGTATAGATGGTGGAGTCACTGGAGTGACTTACAGAACGCATATGAGATTTGTGGACATTGGACGTGATCCACCACATCACTCGCCCATCCCAGCGGTTTGAATGCAACGTAGATTAGTGAGCCTATAATATGGTTCAATTGGTGATCGCAATGAGTGGTGTGGGCAGCGGCGGATCAGGACATAGTCGAGCACCGAGCCGCATTTTATTAGAAAATTAAATATTGCAAAAAAAATCATATATTTTATACCATATGAATTGCACGCGTGGATTTTTTAATATAGAAAATTATCAATAATGGAATTTACATTCATACCAATAGCATAATATTCTCTTTCAAATAATATAGTTAACCAATCGTCAAGAAATTCATCGCTCATTTTGTTGTGCAAATCATTTTTCATTTATTCAATTGTTGAAAAGTTTCTATCTGTATTAATAGTTGAAACATGCAATGTCAAAACTAGACAATTTAATCGACTAATCAATTTCTATTGTGTGTTCATTCCTATTTCCACCAGCTGTTGTAGTCATTTTTCAAAGTGAACAAACCTCATATTTCTTTTAGTCTTTTAAGTTGTAGACTTTTAAAATTTTAGGTTTCATTGTTTGTTTTTCTTTAGACGAGAATCATTGGAGCTAGAATTTCTATGCTAAATTTAGACTTGTGATTTGAATATATTCATCTTACCTATTTTCCTAATTACACAAAATTCTATTAGAAAATAACACTGGGTCGAATGGCTAAAATCGACAAACTCACAAGGGTTATACTAGCTCCAGATCCAGAGGAGGGCTGGGCCGTGGCCGGATTGGCCACCCTCTGGATCCGTCACTGAGTGTGGGTACCTCAATACCTATACTCGTTCATTCTTAAACAGTTATTTGGAAAAAGAAGGTCGATATTTAACTTTACAAGAACACATAGATAAACCACTTCATAAATGAATAATAAATATAGTTGAAGAAATCATAGTTCATAGATTCTAAATAATTGAAAAATATATTCTAAAAATTTATTTAGAATGAAAATATGATTTTAGAAAGGACAATAGAAGAAACATATTTAAATGTATTGATGCAAATTATGATAAAACAGGTCAAAAATTTTGTAGGGCAAATCGAAATAATGCTCATATCCCGTCTCAAACTATCAGACAACATCCACCCCAAACAAGGTATATGACGACTTGTGTGGGACAGGTGGGCCCTCACTAGGTTTAACCGATGTACGATCAGGTCAGTAACCACACAGAGACCGTCGATCTAGGGGACAGATCCATCGTGCGGCTCGACTTGACGCGGGGTAGGGAAGGGCATTTTTGTCCGTTTTTATATTTTATATTTTATATATTTTTTTAATTTATCGCACATTAAATGGCTGGTTTTTCAATAGAGGAGAGACAAATAGTCTTCTCCCTGCAACTCTCCTTTGTCTTTCTCTCTCCCAATATCCTTCTCCATATCTAGATTTGCTCGCTTCTTTTCTTCTTTATTTTTTTCTCCATCAAACGACGAATAAAAATTGCAGCCACCCTCTTTCATTTTGTTTTTTTTTCTTCTTCATCAAATCGTTGATTGCAGAGGAAATCATATGAGAAGGAGGACAAGTTTTTTTTCTCTCCCTCATATTTTTTCTCCTTTTAGGTAATATATATTGATATTATCACACTATACCATATAGTATTGTGTGGTAACAAAATATATGTTGATACTACCACACTATACTATATGTTATTGTGTGGTAACTAAATATATTGATATTACCATACTATATCATATGGTATTGAGTAGTAATCGACACCAATTTTGAGAAATTATATTTATATTGTGTCGTAGAGGGTTGTAATTAGATTTATATTTTGTATATGGTTTTACCTTCTTTTACCATGTGGTATTGTATGGAAATTATAATTAATTTATGGTCATTCAATTTACCATTTTCTACTATGGTGATATATTATATGGTAGTTAGATTTATAGTTTTTGTAGTGTGTTTTACCAAGTTATACCATGTGGTGGTAGTTGGATTTGTAATTTAATTTTAGCATGTTATACCATATGGTATGGTAATTAGATTTGTAAATTTTTGTAGCATGTTTTACCATGTTATACCATGTGGTATTGTATGATTGCTAGTTTTGTAAAAAAAATTAGCATGTTATACCATATGGATTTGTAAATTTCAGTAGCATGTTTTACCACGTTATACATTATGGTATTGTATGGTAGTTAGATTTGTAATTTTCTTCAACATATATTACCATGTTTTACCACGGTTAGTAGAAAGTGATAATCATATTCACATTTATAATTACTGTATTTAGCACTGGATTATTTAATGAAAAAATCATCATTCAATGTAAGTTGTAATTAGAACAGAGATAGTGAGGATAGTTAGATTCATTTTTGTTGTAAATGGGAGAGAGAAGAAATAATGTAACTTTTTTTAATAATAAAAGAAAGAGTGAGAAAGAGGGGAACACGTGTGGTGCGGGGAGTGGGGTCCGCGTCTTTTCGAAAATCAGCATCAGCGTCAGTGGGAATAGGTGCAATTTCACCTTACTGGCATCCTATTCGGCTAACCTGGTCGGCTCCAGTTCTGTCCCACTTATTTTTTTGCAGATGATCTAATCCTATTAAACGAGGCGACAGTCGAGCAAGTTGCAATCATGTTTGAGCCTATATTCAAACCAAACAACATCCCCTATTTATTTGAATAAGGCTGGAAAGAATGGCCGCCAAGTTTAGAACAAAACTTTTAGGAAATTCCTACAATACCTTGAAGTTATGGTAACTTGATGTTCTTGACCTGCTATAACAGGTTTCACAAGTCGCATTACGTAAAATACAATAGGCATTACGTAATGGTTACATAATGTGTGGTTATCTTAAGTAATAGTTGAAAAATGTCATTACGGAAACCTTACGTAATAGAGACTCATTTTACGTAATGAATATTAACCTTTCGTTACGTAATCTGTTGAATCATTACGGAAGGCTTACGTAACACTTCTAACTTAACTGTTACGTAATAAATAACTATCGTTACGTAACCTTTACGTAATAGATGCATACTTTACGTAACAGTTGTAAAGTGACATTACGGAAGCCTTACGTAATGATATTAATCAAGTTATGTAATGTGGTAAGTCATTACGGAAGTCTTACGTAACACTTCTAATTTAACTCTTACGTATGAAATAACCTTCGTTACGTAACCTTTACGTAATGAGCGTGTATTTTATGTATCAGTTGTAAAATGTCATTACGGAAGCCTTATGTAATAGACAATGCTTTTACGTAATGAATATTAACCTAGCGTTACGTAAAATGATAAGTCATTACGGAAACCTTCCGTAACGCTTATAGTTTAACTGTTACGTAAGACTAATAAGCATTACGTAATTGTTACGTAATAAACATTAGTTTTACGTAACAAGACCTATAAAACCTGCTATAACAGATCAAAAACGTCAAGTTATCGTAACTTCAAAGCATGGTAGGCGTTCCCAACCTTTTAATAAGTCTGTGGATCCACACAAATGATTCTTTAAATATTCATCAGTCTCGAATCACTTTATATCCAGTAAATCTACTATCTCAAGCACGTATGACCTCATCAAAGAATGAGAGAGAAAAAACAACCCCTTGATATTTAATTTAAATGGGAAAAAAGACTAACATGTGGAGAAAAAAAGACTAACATATCCCGGTTTGACAACCTACCTGATCATCCTATCAACTACTTATTCTTGTAACACCGTAGCAGAAGGCGAATAAAGAAAGGAAGAAGAAGAAGAAAAACAGTGGATCCTATTAGGGGTGGCAGATCGGTTTCCGGTTAGCGGCTAATCGGCGGTTTTAACCGCTAACCGCCGGCTAGTCACTAACCGAAAACCGACCGGTTATTAGTCGCGGTCGGTGTTAGGCAAGACTGAAGGGTTCTCCGGTTAGCCGAGTAACCGAAGGCGGTTAACCGCGGCTAACCGGCCGACCGACCCACAACCGAAAAAATATAAAATAGAGAAGGTGACCCCTCCAGCTTCTCTCTTTCTTCCTACAACTCCTTCAACTCTTCTTCTCTCTTTCTTCCTACAACTCGCTACACCACCGCAGATCCGACCCTCACTGGTCCGCAATCAGGACCGCCACGAACCTCTCCTCCGACGGGCGCCTCCACCTCAGCCACCTCAAGCTGCTCCGCCTCCTCGGCGCCGGAAATTTGGGCCGCGTCTTCCTCTGCAAAATTAGGGCTTCCAGCGACGGCGGCTCCAAGTGGAGGCCAGGATCCTCGCCGTGCCTCGCCGCCCGTCGCCTCACCGCCCGTCGTTGCGCCTCCCCTCCCCTCCCCGCGACCCCTCCAGGCTCCAGATCTGTTTCCATGGAGAAATGTGAGAGAAGAAGAAGGAAGAAGAATTGGCGGGGGAACAGTCAACAGTGGGAATGGCGAGGGAGAAGAGGAAGTGTTTGGCGAATGGCGAGGGAGGAAGTGTTTTGAGGGAGGGAGAGGGAGTGGAGGTGGGAGAGGGCGAGGGAGAAGGTGGCGGGGGAGGTGAGGACTGAGGAGGGCTGAGAGGCGGAGGCGGCGGCGGCGGGTGTCGGCGAGGGAGAGGATGGAGGAGGTGAGGTCGTGACTCGTGAGGGTGGTGAGGTTGTGGGGAGGAGGTGAGGTCGTGAGGAGGATGCAGATAAGGAAGGAGAGAGAAGGATGCAGATAAGGAATGAGTGGTGGGAGGAAATTTGGGTTTTCTTTATTATTATTTTTTTGGAGATAAGGGAGTGCGGCTAACCGAACCAAAACCGATACCCGACCGATCGGTGGTCGACTAACCGCAGTGTCCCTCACGGTCGGTGGCCGGTAGTGGATGGTGGTGGCTCGATTTAATCGATAACCGAAAAATAAATTTTCGATTAAAGTGAAACCGACCGACTGACAGCCCTAAATCCTATATCAAACCAAGAAATACAAGCTAACCCTCTAGACTCTAGTGGAATGCCCATTTTGCGTCATTTGGTGGGTACAAGATCCGTGCATGAACTGGGCTCGTGATTTTTCAAAAACAACTGGGCCAACTGTATTTTGGCTACTTTGCTTTCTCATCCAAAAGCCAAATCTCAACAAAATTGAAAATGTTTATATTAGTTTAGTCATTACTCATTAGTGATACAATACAAGCAATAATATGAGGCGATTTTCACGTCTTATATGTTATTAGTTTTCGTCGATTTTCAGCATGTTGTTTTCTCTCGATTATTCATGCTAATCGGGTACAATTTTGTAACACTATTTCTATATAATATTTGACCAAACGAGACTGAATATTTTTGACTTATTACTCAAGTTATTAACTAATTATTAAAAGAAACGAAATGATAGGTCAGAAAATGTGGATGGATGCTCTCATAAAAAAATATGGATGCAACTAGTAATCCATTGACATTAGCCATCAGCAAACTAAAGACCTGAATGACAATGGATTGAGTTGAGTCGGGTTTTGTCAAACCCAAACACATAAGTTTATTGGGACAAGCTACGGTGCTAATCCTATAGGGGGTTAGCACCGTCCTAATAGTTGTGGTAGTGTTTTTGCATGGAAGTTTTTTGTAGTCTTTTTTTATTGATCGCCTGTGTTGTAAATAAGTAGGGTCTGTAGTAGTTTGATGTGCAGTCATGGTAGTGTTTCTGGTCATAGTTGTCTTGGGACTATGTAGTTTCGTCAATATTGAGGTGCAATATATTGGTAGTAGTGGTTTTTAATAATACATGTGTAATGTTTGTATGAATACGTGTGTAGCGTTTTGGGGTTAGCAGGTGCTAACGGGGTATGTGGTTAGCATCCCATCCCACCCCGAGTTTATTCGTGAAAAAATCCCAGGGTAAAACCCACTGGGTTTGAAAAACTCAAACCCAACCCAACCCGCTGGGTATCCGCGGGTTCATGGATACCCATGGTTTTTTGTCGTAAAAAATTTACAATAACAAGTTCCTATCAAAATTAAAGTCAAATTTCAATTTCTCAATACAAATTATCCATATATAAAACACTATTCTAGAAAATTCAAGCAAATCACAAATCAACTATACAAATTGTTCAACACCAATCTAGAAAACTTAAGAAAATTGAAACAAATCACAAATTATCCATAAATAACATGATTAATTGAAAGCTTCTTCCTCTTTGTCAATTAAGTTTTTTCACTCTCCACTCAATAACATCAACTTCATTCTACACAATTAGAAAGAAAAAATTAGACATGTCTCCACAAACATAAATAAGATTAGTTGTTTAGAATATTAAATACACCGAGAAAATTAATTATATGAGTGTGGGCGGGTACCCATGGGACGGGTTTACCTAAACCCAAACCCAACCCAACCTAGGTGAATAGTGAACGAGTTTAAACTCAAACTCGGCCCAAAACTCGTCAACACGGATTTTATCCGCGTTGACCGGGTTGGATCGGGTGGGTACCCGTGAATTCGGGTTTTGTTGCCATCCTAGTACTTTACGAACCTAATTTCAGGCCATACCCAAATTCACAATAATAAATGAAGCTTTTCTCTAAGATCTGTATTGGTAAGCTATGAAATGGCCATGTCTGTCCCATTACAGCCACAACATTCAAACACTCACTGCTCAAATTTGTCAGAGAAGAGAGTGTTCTACAGCCTGGTTGCAGTTGCAGAGCCCTTTAATGCACATATATCAGTCAATTCCTTTGACGATGATGATGAAGATGATGGTGGTAAGGCTCAATAGGCCCTCAGTCACTGTCAGTCAGGCCCAGCTGAAATACCTCCTTGTCCCTTTGGCCTAAGGTGGAAGAAGAAGTTATGCAAACAAAAAGGTTGGCTCCATGGCGGGCCTAATTGAAGTCACAACTCAAAGAAAGAATCCAACCATAAGGATTTGAAATGTTACTGCCAAACAATGTTCCTAGTTGTCTCTTGAGACGATCAATCTGCACTACAGTTTCGAAACAGTAAATCTGTTTTTGACCAAGACAGTGAAAGCAATCACCGTTTTTGACCAAAACGGTGATAGTATCATCGCTTTGGACCAAAACAGTGATGCTATCACTGTCTTGGACAAAAGCGATGATCCTTTCACCGTTTTGGACCAAAACGGTGATTGCATCACTGTCTTGGTTCAAAGCGATGAAAGCATCATCGCTTTCAACCAAAACGGTGATTCAATCACCGTTTTGGTTTAAAACGGTGAAAGGAGACATTATCACCGCTGATGTGTAAAGCGATGATATCATCGCTGATGTGTAAAGCGGTGATAATTGACACGTTTTACCGGCCTGGTAGGTGGAAATTAGGTCACAGCTACCAAGCAATCACCGCTGAGGACAATGGCGGTGAACACATCACTGTTTTCGTCCAAGGCGGTGATTGCCAAAAAAAATTCTATAAATACTGACCTCCACTTCCCCTATTGCTACTTTACAGAAAATTAGTACAAAAATTAGTGTTTTATTAGTCATTTTCTCAGTTGGTTTACTGCTCAAGAAACTCGTCGGGATTCGGTATGTTATAATTATGTAATGTTTACATGTTGATGTGTTAGTAATTTATATGTCTGTATTTAGTGAATTACGGTTATTGGAAAATATGTTATGATATATTTAGATTAATTATGATATGATAGATGTTAGTTAATTAGTTATGAATTTAGATGAATTTGATTAGTTTTCTCATGATAGATCGGGAGTCGGTATGTTATAATTATGTATTGTTTACATGTTGATGTGTTAGTAATTATATGTATGTATTTAGTGAATTGCGGTTATTGGAAAATATATTATGATATATTTATATTAATTGTGATATGATAGTAGTGAATTAGTTATGAATTTAGATCGTCTCAAGAGACAACTACGAAGGAGGTAACTACGAAGGAGGTACTTCTGCAGGAGGGTATGGCTGGGGTGGTACTTCAAGCAACTACGGAGGAGGTAGTTATGAAGGAGGTGGTGGTTGGGAAGAATACGTGCAACCAACTGAGACGGCCGTCAATATCGTTCAGCCCGACGGTGATCAATGGCCTGCTTGGGGTCCAGAGTGGGCTGACATTGGGAACAACCTTCGATCTGGGCGTTCTTCGCATGACCAACAAGACGATGTTGGTTATGCTGGCAACGATGACCATCCTGAGTCGAGCTATCCATTCGCCTCTAGTGACGATGAAAGTGAGGAAGATTTGAGATCAGTCAGTGAGGAGGAAGATACGGACGAGATAGACGATATCGATGACAGAGAGGTGGCGTTCCGTCAGGCACCAACACCTTACTACACAGAGGTTCCTGATCAATTTTTATATGGTCAGAACGATGCCCCTGACTATCGGCCCATGCCTGTGTATAATCCGACTGCTCCTTTGGAAGTGGGTATGGCGTTCACTTCGAAAGCCGATGTGCAAGATGCTTTTAGCGAAGAAGCCATGCGCCGTAACTTCGAATGGAAGGTAAAATATTCTGACACCAAACAATTGCATGTCATTTGTAAGAATGCTGGAGAGGGTTGTGAGTGGCAACTTCGGGCTGCATATATGAACAGAAAGGGCGTCTGGGTCATGCGAACAGTAGAGAACAACCACAGATGCTCCTCAACCATACTTTCACAGGATCACCGGCAACTGAAAGCAAAAAAGGTGGCGAGAACCATTAAGCACCTAATCGAGGCACAACCGGATATCAAGATAAAAGCTATTATGGCCGAGGTGAAGGATCGACATTCCTACACCATAAGGTATAAGAAGGCGTGGCATGGGAAGCAGAAGGCCATGGCTGAGGTCTACGGTGATTGGGATGACTCGTATGCTTTACTCCCTCGACTAATGTCCGCAATGGAGGAGTCCAACCCTGGGACGGTATTCGTGCCGTGGTACAACAACGTGCAAACTGAAGATCAAGTTCGTGTACAGAACGAGTTGATGTTTCATCGTCTGTTCTGGACATTCAAACCATGCATTGACGGGTTTCCCTTCTGCATGCCAGTGATTCAGGTATATTACGGACTCAAAATATTGTACTAGTTCATTACCTTACTAAGTAAAATTTTTAGTAACTAATTATTCATTTTTAACAGGTTGATGGAACTTTCCTTATTGGGAAGTATAAAGGAACTCTTCTCATTGCAACTGGGGTTGATGGAAATTTAAGTATTTTCCCCTTAGCATTTGCATTAGTTGAAGGGGAGAACAACTTAAGTTGGGCATGGTTCTTTGACCAGCTACACGCCCACGTCACACAAAGAATGGGTATTACAATTATATCGGATCGACATGCCGAGATTAAACACGCCGTCAATGGTTTTCCCAACGAATGGGGATGGACATGGCGCTGGTGTATTCGTCACTTCCTTGCCAATTTCCAACACAAATTTGGCAAGAAGAAGGACATAAGAGATCAATTGTGGAGTGCAGGTAGTAATGTAGTACAGTCGATTCTTCTTGCCCATATTGTTGAAATGAAATTTCTTATGGCTGAATTATTTATTCTCTGGTCTTGTAGCGGTTGCACATCAACCAAAGAAGTACGAGCAGAAGATGAAGACGATCCGTCAGATACACCGGGCGGGAGCAATATGGGCAGAAGGTCAAGATCTGCACATGTGGACATTTCATATGGACAACGGGGCTAGATTCGGCATTGCAACTACCAACCATGGCGAGAGCATAAATGGAGTCTACAAGGGCATTAGGGCAATGCCTGTATCTGTCCTAGTGGAGATGACATACTGGAAGGTAAACGAGTGGTTTGTGAAGAGACGGGAGCTCGCTATAGGGAGGGAGCGTGCTGGTCATTCAATAGCACATCATATATTTGATGGCGTGGAGCTCCCTGAACCCTTGAGGTGGGGATGCTGGAATTGGTTGCTCCAATCGATATTGCTTCAAAGATCGATCGGGAAGATGCCATTCCACCATGTGGAAGCAGATTAAGGGCACCTTGCACAACCATGTCTCTTCATCCTCGGGACGTCTAAGACGATGCAACTCAACCACTTCATTTGGATATGGGTCCCATACCGCCCACAATCATTATAGTTCATGGAATTAGTACAAATTATATCCACTCCACCTAAAAAATTGAAAATGATGAAATTTAAGTATTTTTACCTGGTTCCACCAAGGCTTATCGAATTCAGCACGATAAAACAGCAAAGAGTGTTCGGGCTGGTGGTCGTTTGTATTTGCTCCGATCCACCTAATTAAGCAAAAGTACGTATATAAGCAATTTTTATGGCATAGATGTTTACTTGGCAATAATCTAAAATAGCTAAATAGGATTTGGTTAGAAAAATTCAAAATTTGCTAACTTGGAAGATATCTAAATTCACTAAATACTATAATTGCATACCTAAAATGTCACTTAATTTCCTTGCTTGAAAGATATCTAAGTTCACTAAAATTCACTAAATTCGCTTACTTGGAATAGATCTAAATTCACTAAAATTCACTAAATTCGCTTACTTGGAATAGATCTAAATTCACTAAAATACTACCATTGCATATCTAAAATAAATTAAACTTAAATTAAACTTACTTGAAACCATATGGGGGATTTGCTACAAATCGTAGCTCATCGTCTGGCAACCAGAATTCCCGAGGGTCTCGAGGTGCTAAAAACGGAAGATGCTCCCATGCCCAGAGTTGGAGTATGAACATCGCACCACCAGCTTGTTTCGCTCACAACCTCGAGCAAGTACACAACTCTCGGTAGATCCCAGCCAAGACGGCCGACCCCCAACTTTTTCTCCCGATCTCGTCCCAGTCACCGAGGAGCATATTTAACCACACCAACCAAACCAATTAGGTTTGACTTGTCGGGGAACAGAAACCCACCAACCAAACCAATTAGGTAGACACGTGCATACCGCTCCACCTGATCTTCAGGAGTGTCGGGGCCTATGTTAACCTCCATTTGGATGTGGTCAACAAGCCACGGGACCGATACTTGCCCCGCATTCAGTGGTGGATGCCCATGCCCGTCGACGGGCATGGTGGTCGGCATGTTGAACCCCAAACGCTCTAGAATCAACGGCCCCCAACCATCATCCGGTTTTTTCGAGCTGTCGATGATGGCATCTCCGGTGATCGGGAGCCCGGTGAGGATGGCAACATCTTTGAGGGTGATCGTCATTTCACCTCGGGAAAGTGGAAGGTATGCAGCTCGGGGCGCCATCGCTCTGCCATTGCCGTCAGCAGATCGTTGTCAATATCAAGCCTCGTAAAGTGCCTCAGCATGTGCAATCCCGTCCTCTCTATATAGGGCTGCAGTCGATCATGCCAACGGGGCAATCGACATGTCCCTCGATGAGCGATTGGAATAAGTGATTCCTACAAAACAAAAAACACAATATTATTAGTCAATACAAAGCAAAATAAAAACTTTAAAACTATTGAAATAAATTTAGTGTCTACCGGATTATTGTTCCAAATTGAACGGGAGCGATGCTGATCTTGCCCGGTTAAATACCTTCGATCCCTTGGGCCAGGATCGATATACAATCGAGGGTCGTATATCTCAGCACCCATCTATAAAAAAATATAAAATCAAATCAATTTAAATTTTAGCACCCATGTAAAAAAAAATAACAAAAGAATATAATTAATTTACGTACTCTCAAAGCCTCTTCGTCCATTTTTTGCCGAAAAGCTAGCGAGAGTATCGACAAAACAAAACAAAAACTAACTCTAGTAATTCTTTCTGATGCGGAAGATCGGACTTAGCCGCAACCACAGAGCATACTTAGAACGAAACTAGAGGAAAGTAAAGGAGGGAGAAAGAAGTATAAGATTTTGGTGTGGTTTGGAATGAGGGGGGGGGGGGGGGGTGGTATTTATAGGGGAAAGGGGGGGAAAGGGCCGCTGGAAAAACCACCAGGGACCAATCACCGCGTCGAACGAAGCAGTGAAATCACTGCGTCCAACAAAGGCGGTGATGGCCTGGATAGCTGACGTGGCGCGGCGTGAGGCGTCGGATCGTGGAGAAAAACCACAATCCGCGCCTCACTGCATCCAACGGCAGCGGTGAACGCGCGGGTGGCGTGGATCGCTGACGTGGAAAGCGGGATTACACCGCTTTGGTCTTCAGCGGTGAAGTCCCCGCCCGCGTCCACGTCAGCGATCCGCGCACTTTCACCGCTTTTGGATCCAACGGTGAATATGTTCACCGCGTCTCAAATCTACGGTGAGTTAATCACCGTCATTGACAACAGCGATGCTAGCATCATTGTTGTTGTCCAAAGCGATGATGCTATCACCGTTTTGGACCAAAACGGTGATAACATCATCGCTTTGGACAACAACAGTGATGCTATCACCGTTTTGGTCAAAAACGGTGATTTCCATCACTGTTTTTGTTTGCAGCGGTGATAACCAAACTGCTGTATTTTGGGAAATAATGTTATAAGTATTGTATTTTGGAATTTTTTTTTAATAATAAGTGTATTATGGGATTTTTTCCACAATATGTTACCATAGTCACTCTAGAGTCTGAGGACCTGTTGTGCTTACATGAATCTTGCTTACTAATTGTCTCTTTATATCACAATTCTACAGGTTTCTCTCTGGTTCATCATATCATGAATCCCCCTCAGAAATCAAAATCACCTACAAAGGAATTTCAGAATCATTCCGCTGATTTTTCCACAAAAGACAGAAATCCGCGATCATTAGACCAACAGGCAGCAAATAATCTATAACTGCAAAACTACATTACAACAAGAGTCCAGTTGGAGACTAATCAACGGGGAATGAGAGTGAAACTACATATCATCCCATGATACTAAATAAGCAATGGATAGATACGGTAAGATTATCCTTGCTTCAAATCCTCTAAACCTGCCACCATCTCCTTCAGGCTTCAAGGCTACAAGAAGGTAGCCTTCATGGAACAACAGCCTGCAAAGCTAGACCTAAGCTTAAATGCAGCTACTGAAGTTACCTAATTCCTGAACAACAGCCTCCATGGAAGGTCTCTCTATAGGAGACTCATGGGTACAAAGCCAAGCAACCCTAGCAAGCTTGGCAGCTTCGTATTCGAAGAACCGTCCATGGACATTAGGGTCAAGGTAGTCCTGGAACCTACATGCCTCAGCTCCCAACCGTACCAGGTTGGCAACGTTGCGCTTTCCTGATAGGATCTGGAACACGATCACCCCATAGGCATACACGTCGCTCTTGTCCGTGAACCGGCCAGTGGTCGAGTACTCTGGAGCCATGTAACCCATTGCCGCGCTGGCTTTCAGTGCCGAGAAGACAGTGTCATTTGTGAGGAGGTTCTGCAGGCCTGAATCGGCTAGCACCGGGTTGAACCTCTGGTCGATTAGGACCTTCTCGGCTGTGATGTTCTGGTGGATCATGGACGGTTTGTTGGCTTTGTAGCCGTGCAAGTAAGCTATGCCTGCAGAAAACATAAACCAGAATGAAATTTAGATATCGTTTACGTGACATAAAATGTTCTTGCAGCTCATTGTATGTCATAACAAGAGTAAAAACTAGAGGGAAGGAAAAGTTCAGACCTTTGGCAATGCCCTTAACAATGGAGACTCTGGTGGACCATTCAAGAACACGGCTACCACATTCCTCAACATCCAGATAGCTCAACAAGTTGCCATTAGGAACATAATCATAGATCAGGAAGCACTCCCCACGCCCTCTCGAGCAGCAGAAGCCTCTAAACCTCACCAAATTCTCATGCCTCAACAATGTCAAAGCATTCAATCCTCTCAGAAACTCTGCCTCATCCGACCTACAGCTGCTCTTGCTGATGCTCTTGATAGCCACACCAGACCCATCTCTCAGAATCCCTCTGTACGTCGCACTAAACTTCGACTTCCCAAGCAAATTCGTCTCGGAGAAGTACTGCGTTGCAGTTTCCACTTCCTCCAAGTTGAACTTGAAGCTCTCAAGAACGTCTTGGGAGCCATTCCCACAGTTCTTCCCATCAGAAAGAGGGTCCCAACCGTTGGGATACTCCAGGCTGATTAGTGGGGAGCCGTTTTTCCTGTAAATCCCTCCCTTTGATTGCTGGTCCGTAGAGGGATTTGAAAGCTCGAATGTGCTGGAGAGCTTCTGCTTGCGGCGGCGGTAGTGAATGAATGAGAGTGCTGAAATGGCTAGCACTGCTATGGTGAGAACGATTGAGCCTACGATAAATGAGGCAGCTTGATGGTGGTGAGTTGCTGGATTTGAAGAGCAGTGAGTCTGATTTTGGCTGCAAGGGAGTCTTAAATCAGCTGTTTGTGGGATTTCCCTTGTACTCGGAATCCCATCTCCTGGTCCATAAGCTTCTGGTCTGTTTGAATTGGTTCCTTCTGAGGCATTGCAAGGTCTCAAGAACATGAAACCCGACCCGCATAGTCCCGGGTTGTTTGCAAATACGAAACCCTCGTTGAGTCTCTTGAGAGCTGAGAGAAGAAAGATGCATACTTTAAGCAATTTTACATCCAAATAGACAAGCCCAAAATGTAAAACAGTGCGAAAAGGGGGAAAAGATGCAGACTGTAAGCAATTTTCGATTTAATTCAACGAACCCAGATGAAGAAATAGATGCAGAAGAGAAGAGGGTAAATTTTTTGTAGCTTACCGAGAGGGACATTGCCGGAGAAAGTGTTGTTACGGATGTCTAGAAGTTGGAGAACAGGAGCATCGGCGAGCTTCGTTGGGATTGAGCCGAAGAAATGGTTGAAGCTCAAATCTAGGCGGGTTAGCATCCCTAGATTGCCTAGGCTTGCTGGAATGGCGCCATTAAATCGATTTGACTGGAGGGCGAGAACGGTTAGCTTGTTCAATGAACCTAGCTGGATGGGTACGCTTCCATTAAATTGGTTGTAACACAGCTGCAACACTGAAAGAGAACAAAAGAAATTATTAGCATACTGTTCTGAAACAGGGGAAGCCAAAAACAGAGTAGAGATTATTTAATTTTGAGGGGCCTAACCTTGGAGTTTAGCCAAGTTGCCAATCTGAGGAGGGATTTCACCGGAGAGATTGTTGACATTCAAGTACAAGTCAACGAGCTCGGTCAAGTTCCCAATCTCTGGAGGGATTTCACCGTACAGGGAGTTGTAATGCAAGTAGAGACCAGTCAAGTTCTTCAATCCAAAAATGGCAGGGGATATCTTCCCATGAAGCCCTTTCCCCTGTAACGAAATGTTAGCAACCTGACCTTTCTCATTGCACCCAACTCCTTCGAAAGAGCCGCCGCACGGGTCGCCATTGGTGGTCCACGAAGAAAGGTACTTTTCTTCAGGGTCCAAAGCTGATTTCACTTCCAGCAGCGAACTTAGCTCCTCGGAGATGGTGGCTCCATGAACCACTACCAAAACGAAAACAGGAATGGAGAACAAGAAGAAAAAGAGGAGGGAAATTGCTGAAGAAACAGCAGAAGCCATTGTCTTCTGTTTCCCAACTTGCAGTTACTCTATCGCTCTGTTTTTTTCTTATGCTCTGTTTTTTAGCTTGTTTTGTTGTTGGGGTTGTAAAGAATGTGGAAAGGAAAGCTACTTGGAATATTAATGGAGGAGTGCTCTGCTGCTCTCTCTGTAAATGGACAAATGGTTAATTATTAGTTTAATTTTCTGGACTGGGAAACGAGTGTACCACCATATCGAGAACCGCAACCCAAAAAAGAGTGGAGCAGAGGTCTGAACAGGGGAGCAAGTACATTATAAAATTAAGAGGATGAAAATTTTGAAAATTAACAAAAAAAATTAGAGATTTTGATTTGGGTTTGTGGCTGTAGGCCGTTGGATGAGGGGACTTTTCAGGAAGGAGCTCCTTTTGTAGGGTAGCATTTTGGCTAGTAATGGCGTCTGATGGGGTTCCATTCCTGTTCCATCAGAACAGAGAGAGACAAGAGCGGTGATAGGGATGAGGATGGTTTGGTCTTTTCCACTACTGATTCTCGTCTTGCTGCAGCAGTGGCTTGTACTATGGTGATGAGAAAGCTTAGCCAAATTTATCAGATGGAGTGCAAGCAAGATTTTCAAATTTCAACCCGCGGGTTGACCCATTTTAATCTTGATTCGGTGAGAAAAACGGGTCGTACATACCTGTCGGGTCATCCGTTACAAGGTATTGGGTTGGAGGTCAAATTGTGTCATTTTTTCTTTGATTTGCGAAATGCGCCTATTTTCCAATTTCTTTTCGCCTAACTCTATCTTTGGCATCCTAAGTTAAACATTTGAATATATATGTTATATAAGTGTGTGTAAATTTTCAATATATGTTGGATCTAAGTACGACATGTTATTTTGGTGGAATATTATATGTTATAACTCATATGTTAGATGAGATTTGATATAAGTTATCAAGATAAGTACAATATAATGACTATTTCCATATTTTCCGGGCTAAACCGAGTGACCCATCAAGCCTTGACCCACTAGCTCCACCGGGTTTGGGTCAACCCGCGGATTGACAACCTTGAGTGCAAGTAAGAACTTGAGTTATTTTATAGGTTATTATCACACTCATCAAGAGTTGTAATAGTTTGTATTGGAGTTGTAGTTCTACAAACGGAAAAAAAAGACAATGACTACAACTATAATTGCGACAGAGTTATAGTCCTATAACTGCAATACCAAAAAATGAATATAAGTGTAAAAAAAATGTCTACAATTATAATTGTTAATTGTACTACTACAACTTATGGTTAGCATGGTACTACCCACTCTTATGGTTAAGAAGCTGCCTGATTCCAACTGGAAAGCGTGGAAGTGGAAATTATCGGATGGGGGCAATGTGTAGGTGCTCTAATACGACATGAGAAAAATGATTCCTCGTCTTTTGAGTTACTATTTAATCAATTACATGAATTTGTTTTTTTTTTTTTTCATTCATCACTAGTATTAATAGATGTCATCGAGAAGAAAGGGTCATTGTAATTCTGTAATATGTGTACATTGTCACGGGATGACAACGATAAACTAAATGTATCTATTGGTACGGTGACACGTAAAGTGTGCAACTCACTTAGTATTGCTTCCTATTAGTCCGTTGGCTGATCTCTTTCATAGTCTCAAGCTCTCCATGCAAGTGGCATGGTAAGCAATGCGCTTAATGTAGATCTTTCTATTCATGCTTGATTTTAATCTCATAAGTCTTAAGATTACCTTAAAGTACGGATGTATTTAAGTACGTTAATCTCGCAATAAGAATATCATTCATTACATAGAAGTTACTGAAATGCAGTAATAAATCATTCCGGAACTTTTTTACCTAATCTAAAACATAGTTGTCACAGTAGTTATTACTAGTTGACCTCATTCCAAATATTTTCTCATACACCCTAGTTTAGCAATTTACCATTTGTGTGAAGACCCTTGCTTTCATTCATTCTTTCTTTCTGGTTCACAATTGCAGGTAATTTTTAGTCAAGGCTGCTGGGTGGGTTGTGTGCTTTTTTTCACTTCTTTCTTCTTCCCTTTTTTTTTTTTTACCTTTTACAGTTTTACTCACTCATTTCCCTGTCAATGATGCAGGCATTGACCCAGTAACTGGAAGGACAGTGCCAAGTGGCAAAGAGATTGTCGGTTACTTTGGGTTGGCATATGGCGTGGCGCATGAGATGGAATGGAACTGCAGCAGCTTTTGCTACAGTAGACAGACCATAACCATTGCTAGTCTAGTCAAACCACCAGCACCGTTGAAAATTTGCTTTTGAATTCAAAATTCCGTGATCGGATACGGACAATCCCAGCGTAAGATCACTGACAAACAAAACGTGATCGCTCAAAGTAGGGAAAGGGTCCTACCTACCTCACTTCCCAACAGATTGTTTGCGGTTAGTGCGGAGTACATGCAAATGCAATTAGCTTACAAAATTTGAAGAACCACGGGGTTGGTTTGGTTTTGGTGATAGTTAAATAGATGTATTGTCATTAATACATGCATAATGATATATAGTATATAAAAAAATCTGTGTATTGTAGTTTGTATCGTTTGGTTTATGTGATAGTTATTGTATTATCTAGATGAGTTATTTTACTTTTTGGGTGAAATGTCATTTTTACCCTTAATTTGTTTGTAATATAAAAATTTAAAAGTAAGACACATAAAAAAGGTAAGGACAAAGTTGGATGAAAAAAACACACAACAATCTCAATCACACAATCTGAACAATCTCACCTAAAACTTGAGATATCACTCCTTTTTGGGTGATAGTTTGTGTCACATCAAGCAAATAATGCATGTATTGTTTGTGTAGAAAATTCAGAAAACGATGCATTGTGGACAATACATGTATTGTAACTATCTCAACCAAACAATCACAAAAACCAAACGATCCCAAGTTCTCTTTTCACGTGATTTCAAGTGTTTTTTCGGCAATTTATCATGATTCAAAATTAATATATGATTCATTTTGCTTGCTTGCTTCACATTGGTGATTACACATGTACAATTTTACATGCTGTACACGTACGTATTTGTATTATTAACTATTAATTATGAGTATCTCATCCTTAACCATCCTATATATCAAGTACATGTATGTATGGTGTTGAACGCAACACTCTATCAACTACCATATTAAACTATCATACTAGATAGACGAGAGTCATTTAAGTTAAAAAGACGAAAACACAAAGGAGAATTTATTTTACTAATAATATCATTAGTTTTAAATATGGAGATCTCATAATCGAATTTCTTAAATAGTAAGTTACCACAAAACATTTTAGAACCTGACTTTGCTGTTTCAAAATTCCGACAATACAGTAAAAATACTGTCAATTTCGGCCCCCCTCTCTTTGGATTCTTTCAAGTCTTTCTCTAGGAAAGTATAGCAAATTAGCAATCGATCCACTAGTCCACTGTTGGCCCTTGTGTCTTTTTTTTGTTGTTTGTCCTTCTCCGTCGAATGAACACTGAACAGACAACAAGAGATGACAGTTTTTAGTTTCAGACGTTTCAAAATCATGTTTGGTATTATTATTATTACAAGGTAATCGTCCAAAAAAAGGTGTTGTTAATGTTCTGTTGGAAGTATATTCAATTCCTGGATTCTCCAAAGTCTTGCCAGTATTTGGGAACGGCTGAAAATTAAAATAGAGAGGAAAATGTGGGAGTATAACTCCCTGGTTAATGATGAACTGTATGATTGATTGAACTCCAGCAAAACACTACCAAACTCATAGCTGCTCATGCCCCTGTACACGTGGTATGCGTGACACCGATGAATCGTACAACATCATATCGTCTGATCATTGGACTTAGATGTCATAAATCAGTTGGTCCCAACAACTTAACATCATATCGTCTGATCATTGGACGTAGATGTCATAAACCAGTTGATCCCAATAACTCAATTTGTTGGGAGAAGGTTATGTTGGATCTTATACCACTCTCTAACACGCCCCCTCAAACGAGGGCCGACTCATGGGCTTGAAGTTTGCACAGGCCCCCATACCACGTGCTTGAAGACAACTGTTAATATTGGGGGTCGTAGAGATTCGAACACACGGCCACTTGGCCAAACCAACTCTCATACCATGTCATAAACCAATTGGTCCGAATAACTCAAGTTGTTGGGAGAAAGTTATGTTGGATCTTATACCACTCTCTAACCGTAGATAGTTTATTCAACCAAATAGGTCAAATGTTTAATCCTGCAGTTCGATATTGCCATTGTTCTTCTAAGAAGTTGAACTTTAGTGCAATGCATGCATCTTTTCTCTTGCACTATGTTTGGCAACAAGGGGGGTGCAAGTTCGAGAGGGTGTAAGTGGAGGGGTAAATTGTTGTTTGGATGAAAAAGTAGGGGGGTGCAAATAGAGTAAAAAGTAAGTAATTATATTATTATAAAATAGATTTATCAATTCATAAAATATTATCACAAAATAATAACATGAAAATTCAATATATAATAATAATAAATAAAAATAAAAATAATTTTAATAAAAATAATTATTATATAATAATTCTCAAATATAATTATTTATAACAACAATAATATTCATTGGTCGAGCAACCTCGAAACTCGAAATCCAACTCGTAACTAGTAATCCTAAGGGGGTTCTCGTGCCTAACTTTAAATTGAATATGGTCAAACTTAGTCAAACACGTTCGAATCTGTAAGTTTTAACTACTTATTAAAGTAAATCGAGTTAACTAAACTGTTCCTCTCTATCTTTTCAACAAACGCTTCTTATCTCTAATTTTCAATGCAAATTCGGGTCAACTAAGAGATATCGATTTGACGAGGCGAACATTGACAAACTTGCTCTCTGAGTCAATCGGACAACCCCAAACAACTTCTACACTAATATAGATATAAGAAAAAATTAATAATATTAATTATTATGTAATTATAATCTAATTAAAAATTCATAATTCCCCTCCTCCCCCTTCCTTCCCTTGCACCCCAATTTGGAGGGTAAGCCGAAACAGTGAATTTACGCTCACGTTTTGCACCCCCCTACTGTTACAAAATAACCAAACGGGGGTAAACACCTTGGAACTTGTGTTTACCCCCAAACTTGCACCCCCTTCCATTTACACCCCTTCCCCAAACATAGTGTTGATGTTTTCTTTTACATGAAACCCTATTGGAAAATAAATTTATACGAAAAATGATTGGTGAAAGTTAGGTAACATATCTATGGGTACAGGACGTGTTAATAAACAAAATATCATATTCATATCCTAATCGTAATCCTAACCCTAACCCTAATATAAAAGGTTCTCCATGATAACATGTTTAATTCTAAATTTCCTGCATTCCGAGTAAATTTAGGATGGATATTTTTGTCCTTTTAATTAATAAAAATCTAAACATAATTTTTTTAATTATACGAATGTAAAACGAGCTGTAGTAGGAAATTATTATAAGACCAATTATTATATTATTGTTTTTTGTTCGGAAATATGGTAGTGTGAAATTTGGGCGAAGGTTGAGATGTGTGGGTATATAGGTTTAGTTTATTCATATTATTTTATTCTATGGTTAAGTGTTTGACGCAAATTCGACTTTTGCTAATTAACTGATTTGAGATTTTGAGGTTTTCCATTATCTTTTTTTATTATATTGTTACGCATTAGAGTAGGATGAGACTATTTGAAGAAGTACTATATATATTTCATATACAAAGGTTTTGTATTAGTGAACCACGTAAATATGTATTCTTTACTTTGGTACTATTGCTGTCTCTCTTGCATTGTCGACTATCCCCACC